TCGAATGGTTTTATCAATGACTTGGATGAAGTCATAGGTGATATGCTGACATGTCTGAGTTGTCCTGTCATCCTCGGACCCTAATGTTTAGGTTCACAAGCAAATGGAACCCTTATTTTCCAGCAGTCTCTAGATCACTTGATCTCTGCAAATCATGATGCTAATTTTTTAAATGACCATGCACTGCAAAGAGGTTCCATTTCTCATTCTATCCCTCTAAAGCTGCCTCCTATAGTACATACTTTGTGACATGTCTGGTATGTTTGAAAGGCCAGACAGCTGGCTTCAGCAGGGAGTCACTGAAAAAGATATGTGCTCAAAATAATTGAGCCCCAAAACAAATTACCTAGGAAAATAATCTATTTTATAAGAACTGCTGGAAAAAAACTATTAAATAGTATAGCTTAAATTAGGCTTAGACCAACATCTTTCACCACATTCAATAATAGATTCAAAATAGATAAGAGAACTCAATATTAAAGGCTGTGCCATTAAAAAAAAATTAGAATAGAGGCAAGTAATTTAGCACTTACAGATACGGAGTATGAGATGAGTTCTTAATCAAGCAAGAGATTGAGGCAATTTCAAAGAATAAAATAGATAATTTTGTTTATATGAAATTGAAAAGCTTTTGCATAAACAAAATTAACACATCTAGGATAAGAACAGAAGTAGTCAATTGGAGGGAAAAATTTTGCATCATGTATCTCTAACAGGGGTTTGATATCCAAAACATGTAGACAACTCCCACAAATATATGACCAAAAGTCATATCTTAAGTGACCAAAGACACGAGGAAACAGTTCTCAAAAGAACTGCAAACTATTAACAACCATACAAAAGAATCTTCTAGAGTTAGCACTTCTTAAACTGTGGGTCGCAATCCCATTGGCAACAGTAGAAGATTTCTGAATATGCAGCAACCAAAAATTAATTCAAAATCAAAAGCATAATGAAACTGAGGTTTTTCTGGCAGCACTTGCCTGTGCTGCATCACCCATCTTCAGTGCAGCCTTGGGTTCTGAACACAAAGCATGTGCACTTTTCACTGTGCATGCCCTCAGACCATGCAAGCCAACAGGTCGTGGGTGGGAAAAGTTTAAGAAGCTCTGCTCTAGATCACTAATAACAAGAGAAATATAAATCAAAACAACCCTAAAAGTTTTAACTCACATCCAACAGACTGGCATTGATGATATGAGAAGAGTCAATGTATGAGAAGTTTTGGAAAGACTAATTATATGTAAATATTTGGGAATATGGCATTCACAAAGGATAATGAAAAACAACAGTGGCCTCTTGAAGGAGGTTTGTCCTTCCCTGAACCTAAGGCACTTGAGAATGGCATTAGGGAATGACGACCAAGGATCTCCAATGGAGGGCATATTTTAACTGGTGAATACTTTGGTACACAAATGCAGGAAAGATAGAGGTGGCCAAAAGAAAACCATACTACACAAGGGACAAGAATTAATCTGCTTCTCCAGCTTAGTGCTCTTCTGGCATCTCAACAACCCTGCCTTCTCCTTATTTTTCCACTGGACCCAAGGAAGGATCTGATAATCAAGGAAGAGCTACTTTTGAGTGCGTCACAAAGAAGATGACCATCTCCTTCATTTTCTCCACTAGCAAGTAAGACCTGGATGGGTGAAATAGTGTTGCTTGTAGACAATAGAGAAGCAGCCAGCAGAAAGGCAGAGAGTGAAACTATGTGAGTGGGGATAAATGAAGGAGCAGTCTGATGGAGAAGTTGGGATGAAATGTGCCCTTCATTTTCTTGTCTATGCCATGAAGTTAAGCCTATCATTAAAACTCTCATTGATACTGAATGTGACACCTGGTGGTGGCACTTGTGGTACCCTGCTTAGGGATTATTGGGCTCCTTAATAAAGCTGTCCTTAATATCTCTCTCACTGTTGAGCACCTGGAAAACCTTGACATCCACCTGCTATAGCAAGAAATAGATTTTGTTGCCAATGTGGTATTCCAGAATTGCCAACTCCTTGATCTTCCATACCGCATCAAGTAGGAGTCTGTGCCTTAATACCTTGTGTTGCACCTATATTTTACGACTCTGGACAGATTGCAACATATTAGGAAGAAATATGTGGTAAATACAGTGGTTGCCCAGGCCCGTTGTCCAGTAACAGCCAGTGGACCCCACTTGACTGGATCATTTCCCTTCTGCCTTCTATATAACTGCATGGGTTAAAAATTTGCTTCAGTTGGTTCAAATTGTTTTAATCATACTTCTTGTTCTACGTTCTCTTTTCTAAGCTTCTGCAGATTCATGGGTCCCAAAGCCCCTCACCTTTCTGTCTCCCATACGGTCAGATGATCTTTTGGGCCAAGTGGGATTCGGGCTTCAATACAAAAATCCTTTTCCAGTTGGCAAGTAAAATCTCTGTAGGGCTTATGTGACTAGCCTCAGTCTAGTTCACTGTCACTTCCTATACAACAAAATATTCAAAACGCTCCTTCTGGTAGAAAGAATTAGGAACAAAGTAGATACTCACTGACTGAGTAATGGCTAAGCAAATCGTGGAATGTGCATTCCTGTTCTGTAAGGAAAGACAAGCATGCTGAATACAGAGAAGGGAGTAAAGAGCTACATGAAACTAATTCACAGTGAATTACGCAGGATCAGGAAAACTACACGCGCACATACAATGACTACAACCATGGAAATAAAGAGAAAGAACAACTGCCACAAGACAATCAAAAGTGAGTGCTTCGGAATTATGAAAAATAGGCTTGGCCTCAGAGAAGAGATAGGAGAAGCCCCCTCCTCATTCTGCAGAGGCTGGGAGGCCATGGGTACAGAACATAGCATGTAAGGTCAGATTTTTCCCATGTGTTGATTTGTTTTGAATTTTTTTCCCTTCTTCCTCTTTTTCTTTTAAAACCATTCTCTGTTACTGAGAGTGGGAAGGGAGAGGATACTTTGGTGGGAAAATCCAAGTGATATAAAAATAAAATATATGAATAAAAATGGATTTAAAAAGATATCTGCTTTGGTTTCTGAATTCTGTGTTTCAATTCTATTCTTAATGCTTAAGGAAAATAAGGGGTAGGAAATAAGAGGTAGGAGAATTTTCCCAAAGAATCCTCTTTCCTAGTCCCTACATTTCCTCTTCTTCCCCCTGGGAATGCTGGGTTCCTGCTGAGGTTTCCTAGTCTATTAAATAAGGCTTCTTTCTATGATAGGTTGGGTTCTGGGTCATTAGACTGTGTATAGTGATATGACTTCAGATATTTCTGTGTATAAAGCTAACTGATTTAAATAGGGGTAGAATACATGCCTTTGGCCTGACTGATATTGTGAGGTCACACATGCCACCATTATGTACTTTCATACCTATTCCAGTCCCTAGAGTGCTAACTGGACATGAATGCCAATTCCTAAGGACTCAAGAGGGTCTATCTCTCTTCCTACTGAGGCCCTCCCACCTTCCACCCTGTACCTTAGTTTCACACACACTCTTTCACACCATGTTGCACTGGAATAATATTTATTTTTTTTTCTTGGCAAAAGTCAAGTGCTACATTTTTAAAAACAGAAAATCCCAAACAATCAAATGCATTACCCATCACAGAAGAGGGTCAGGCAACAGTACAAAATACCGTACTTGATCTTTTTTCTTTTTTTGTTTTGTTACAAGTATTTGTTTCCTTTAAAGTGATAGAAGTTCTTTGAGAACTAAGTAATCTACAGCCTGTAGTTTAATACTAGGAGAAAAAAAACAAATTAAGAGAGTTAAAGATTTGTAGCATCTAGCATTTTGCTTAATTCCCTGTTGATAGCACCTATTTCTCTAGGTTAGAAAGGGAGAATTCCACAACCAAAGTTGTTTCTGTCGTGTCATGAAGTCAGTGCAGAATTTTAAGCATATAACTTCACTTTCCAAGCTCCCTGGACACAGAGCATCTCTGCATCCTCCCCTCATCAACTTGGATGATTTAGGGAGAAAAGGGAGATGACAGCTCTTGTTCCCAGGAAGTATTTCTGGCAGCTAATTGGAGTAAGTGCTCAAAGGAAAAGAGGAAATCATCGAATCAAGGGAACAGCCGTTGTTTGCAACATGATGAGTTTAAAAGCAGGGAACAATAGGCTTATATGGCAAGTTTGTCACTGCTATGTTCAAAAAACGTGGAGCCCAAACATACAAATTATTAAGGTGGGGGAATGGAATAGGAAGAGTATTCCTATTTACTAATTACATCAATGCTGCTACTGCTGGCCCGCCCCTCTGACCAGGCAAGGATGAGGAGCACTCAAGGGAGTCAGACCTCAGCCATGGGACTCTGGGGCCAATACCCTCCCCCACCACACCAAGAGACTAATATTTAACACACTAGGTACACACTACACACAGATACTCAGCCCCCATCCCCAGGCTGAACTTGCTTCTGAAGGGAAAACCAAACCAAACCAAACCAAATTCATCAGGGTAATCCAAGGAGGGAAGGAAAATGGAACAAGGAATTTCCCCAGCGCCAAAGGAGACCCAAGGTTCCCCTGGCTGGCTGCAGGCCCCCAGTCTGGATTTGTTGGGTTTTTTTCCTTTTCTTTTTTTTAGAGGGGGAGGAAGGAGGAGAGCTAATGGGAGGTAGGAAAATCTGGCATAATCCAGTACTTAAACTTCTTCTACCCCTTTTCTAAAAGCTCCATCAGAGAAGCAAGAGCAGGCCAGGGGAATGGGAAGTGACACATAGGCAGAAGCCTTCTCCTCAGGGAGCCAGAGGGGCAAGGGGAAGGCAAAGGAAAGGGAGCACTTGCCCCTCTTGTATCCTGGAAGCCCTAGGGGATAGCCCAGGAAGGAGACTCTGACACAGGGCCTCAGGGGATGCCTGCAATCTTTCGCAATGGTTTTTCTGGGTGATGGGGTTTTTTTTTCTGCTTTTCTGTTTTTGTATACAGTGTCATTAGACTTGTACTTTAAAAAATAAGATAAAACCAGTCCCAAAGCTGGACTCTGTGGATAAAGTAGTTTCTTTTATAAATATTTTAATTACAAGTAATCCTCACTCCATGTAATTTCAATGACACACATAGTACCTGTGCGCACACACACATCCACACACACACCCACACACATACAGCCCCCAAACTTTCACAGAAAGTCTGACAGCAACCACATAAGTATAAAGGAATCCTACCTCACAACAGCAAAGTAGGGATGAGTATGACTGTGTCAGCCTAAAGCAGAAGCCAAATAGGGGAAAGTGTGTCACTTAAAAAGGAAATACAATATGGGATTAACAAAAAATCCTTTGGATAAGAAGCAAATGAAAAGCCAAAAAAAATATTAAAGCAAAATTCTGATTGCCAAAGGGGGGAAAAAAGAAAAAGCCACTTTAGACCAACGTACGGAGCCTGTGTCAAATGCCCAAGTCAAAAGCAAATTCTGGTGTTCTGATAAGACAAGGGCATCACACAATTGAAAAATGAAAAGAAGAAACAAGGAAACTGAAGATGGAAGTTAGTGTAAATCTCTGCATTTCAGAAGAGTTATTCATTAGCTCCAGAGCCCGGCATAGTTCCCATGGAGCCCTGAAGGGAGGGGACCTCCTGCCACAAAGAGTTTCGTTCCAGACGAGTCGTAGCAGTGGGTGTAAACAGCATTGGGGAAGAAATCAATGTCTGAAAAATAATTCCTCCAAGTTTCATCATGATTCTGTTGGAAAAAGGAGGAGAAAAGGGTCCATTAGCTCCTTTATGTAAGGAAAGTCAAGTCACAGGAAATGTATCATACTGCATTCAGAACTGGAGCCAGGAGACTCGACCTCAGAAGAATGAATCTGTGCCACCCGGACACAGGAGTGTAAATCCCATTCTACTACTTTGGTTAGGAAATTGGTAAAAAAAATTCAAATGATGAGGCCATTTATATCAATGTTTTATAGCGATGTTCATTAATATCTTTCTCCCAGATCCACCAGTGAATGGCTGCCCCTGAGTAAAGCATTTAATTTCTCTGAAACTTCCTTCATCACAAATATGTAAAGGTAAATCATAGAATAAAGGTGAAGGGGCCCGGCCCACCTAGTCTTTTTGCTCCTATGTGAACCAGGAGTATAGCAAAAACGTTCATCAAAATGAGGGAGCTCTTTTTCTGATGCCGCCCAAGCCTCTCCCCAGCCTCTGCCCCCCGATGGAAGGCTCACTCACCAGCCAGCCTTTGCCAGTGGTCAGCTTCAGATTTTCCCCCGCGAGCTTGGGCTTGGACCCAAAGCAGGATAAGTGCTTCTCTTCCAGAAACCTCTGGGTGCGGATGTCATAAAACAACAGGGAGCCCTGCCCTGTGCCCACAGTGATGATGTGCTCGTAGAAGCTCACCGAACGGATGCCTGGGGCCAGGGGAGAGGAGAGTGATCAAAGACAGACACAGGATCATCTTCAAACATGCCACCAAAAACCCATGGTGGTTTTCTCCTGCCTGTTGTATCTGAACCTTATAATGTGGCCTTCTAAAATCATCAATAGACTACTGAGTCAGTCCTCAGGGCCATCCAGCCAATGATGATGATCCTAGTGGGAAACCAAGGGATACTATGTCAAAGAGAATGGTGATGGAGACTCTTTAAAAAGTCTCAAATCAAAAGTTCCAGGCACATCTTTAACTTTCTCTAGTAACTTAAAGGTTGAATGGTGGATGACAGACCCAAGTGCTTCTTAAACCTGTGTATGGTTCCAGTTTGAACGGCTGGCCTTTCAGGTTTATGAATTCTCCATTTACTCTGTTCACTGTATAAAATTGTGATTTTTAATTGCCATAAAACTACTGCCATCATGCTTCTAGGGAGTTGTGAATATAAACTAATGGGAATGATTGCTAAAAACAGAGCTTATGCATTATTCAAATGAATATCCTTCAAAGCAGTGCTCCTGGAAGGCAAGTCATTTATACATCTATTCCAGGGACACTCCCACTTAGGAACTCCTCTTTGGCAATAGCTTACGGAATCTGCTTCCAAGTCAGGCAACAAAATCAGATATCACAATTAGGACTCTTTTTTTTTTTACAACAAAAAATGGTATTCTCTAGCTCAATTCCCTACTTTGCATGGCAGACAGGGATCTAAGTGACTCATGGCATTAACTAAAAACCGAACACATTTTCAGAGGATGAAGATTTCTTGCCCCTGAGGCTATTCAGAAGGATGACTCCAGAGTCAATTCTCAGAGAAGTCCCAGAAAGGTCTTGAGCAAGGGCAATGCCACTAAGTCTGAGGCCTCCCACGGAACCGACAAGCAAGGACAACTCTCATTTGGATAAAAAAGTTCTTGCATATTGTTTAAAAAAACCCCAACACAACAACCTTACAATGCCATGGTTGTCACACCTCATCTTATATTACGTTTATTCATTCGACAGCTATTTAATGAACGACAATCATGTACAAGACATTATCCTAAGAATTAGTACTGATAGGGATACAAAGACACAGAAAAAGTCATGGTCCCTGACCTCAAGAAATTTACAACCTAGTTTCATGAATTGGCATGGCCAAGAATTTATCACCCAGCAGGCCAGTTTACTGATGATAAGCTTCCCTGTATTAAGCTAGGCTGGTCCTTGTACAGCAGACTTAAGTCTACTGCTGTGACCACAGGGGCAAAAATACATGACCATAAATGACTAAAATAAAAGGTGATATGTAATAAGTGCTGTTAATTATGCCAACAAAGTGCTATAGAGTGGAAAGAATACTTCAAGATGAATTGGTCAGTCTATGAAGGCTTCTAGGAGGATATAACATTTGAACCGGGCCCTATCAGAAGGATTTTGGCAGCTAGAGATAGGACATAATGGCATATCAGATAGATGAAATTGTGAGCCAAAGCACAGAACTGGAGAAACAAAAGTGTCTGGAGAAAGGGATAATCCAGTCTGGCTGCAGTAAATGGTAAGTATAGAGGAGAGGCAGGAGATAAGGCTAGAACAGAAGCCTGGGATCATTTTGTGGAAACCCCTAAATATCAAGTTAGGGAGTCAGGACTTTAATTTACAGATACTTGGGGGGAAATGTAGGTTTTTGTGCAAGAGAGTAACATGATGTGAGTAATGCTTTGATCTGGTGCTTGTATAAGATATTATTATACTACAAGAGGGAGAAAGTAGAAAAAGAAAACTAGTTAGGAAGTTATTGTATCAGCGCACAATAATGAGGTTAACCACAGATATGAATAGAAAGGAGTACATGGAAGTGATAAAGGGAGGGGGGAAAAGCTAGGGAATGCGACAAGTCAAAGAGAACTCTCAGGTTTTCAGCCTGGGTAACAGAGAATGGAAATACCATTGACAGAGGGAAATCCGCAAAAGATGATTTTCTGGAAAAAATAACAAGTTTGGGTTTTAAATAGACTGAGTTTCAGATGCCAGATGGATATAAAAAGTAGAAATGTACTTTGAAAATGTGAGACTGAAACTTGGAAGATGGTTCAGTGATGAGATCTATTTATTTCAGGAGTTATCCACTGAGGGGCAATAACTAAAGTCATGGGTATGGATGAAATTAAGGTAGAGAAGACACAATCTTGGCACTCATATTCAGGGGGCATGAGGAAAAGAAGCCAGCTAAAAAGTTATAGAAGGAACAGTTAAAGTGGGAAGACAAGATTCAGGATAACACTGTCAGAAACCAAAGAAAAAAAGAATTCAAATAGGAAGGGGAGATTAATAGCATCAAATGCTATGGAAAGGAGAATGTGTAATGAGAAAAGGCTGTTGGCTTGATACTGAGGTCACTGGCAGCTTTTGAGGCTAGTTTATATGGAAACAAAAGTACAAAAGTCAGACTGGATAGGATCAAAGAGGAAAGGGGTAGTGAAGAAGAGGTAAACATAGTTTAATCTATGTTTATAGATCCAGGGGTGGGGAACCTGCAGTCTCCAGGCCACATTTGGCCTGGATTAGACTACTGATTGAGGATTAGACTATCGACTAGAGATTGATGGTAGGAAGGAAAGACAGGACAGTAGCTAAAGTGACATTTATTTTAATTAATTTATTTAGGATACGCTAGAGGGAAGGAAGGCAGTAGAGAGGACTAGACTGAAGATACAAGAGAAAAAAAGACAATAGGGTAGTCTTAGAAACAACAGGTAGGGATATGAGCACAGGAAAGGATTAATCTTAGAAACAAAGTACTCTTAGACACAGGAAGGAGTTAACATACAGATAAATTTTAAGATGGAGAAGACAACTTTGAGAGATGGCCTAAATAATAGTAAATTGGCCATTTGCTCTAAATAAAAGGTATAAGGGAGGGAGATGGAGTTTGAAGAATATGGAAGGAGTTTTAAAAAGTTACTATGAGATATTAACAACAGTGCTACTAGCAGTGAGGTCACAGTTGAGGTAAGAAGTCTTGAAATTATGTTATAAGAAGAACAGTTCAGAAAATTGAGCCATGTAGCCTGAAGAAAAGGCTTAAGTGGGACAGGACAGCTGTTCTCAAATATCTGAATGACTGTCTAGATGAAAGAGGCTTATTCTGTTTTATTCCAGAGGATAGAACTAGGACCAAGAGGTGAAAGTCACGGGTAGAAGACTTCAGTCCAATATGGTTTCTAGCAGTTAATAGTAAAAACTATCAAAAATGGAATGAACTGGAAGAAATCTTGTCTACTAACAAGGTAATTATCCAGCTTCTACTTAAACATTTGTTCAAATGAGAGGGAATTTGCTAGGTGATACAATAAAATGATAGCAATAATAACTCATATAGTGCTTTAAAGTTTACAAAATACTTTACATATACTACTATCTCATTATAGGGCATCTTATACACTTTTGGACAACTCTTATTATTAGACTATTTTTTACATAGAGCTTAGACAGCTTCCTTGAAATGTCTATGGACTAACTTCCAGGTGGGCATCTAGGTGGTACAGTGTATAGAGGACTGGGCCTAGAGTCAAGAAGACTCATTTTACTGAGTTCACATCTAGCCTCAGACACTAGCTGTGTGGCATTGGGCAAGTCACTTAATCTCCATTTGACTCAGTTTCCTCAACTGTAAGATGGGAATAATAACAGAACCTGTCTTGCCAGGGTTGTCGTGAGGATCAAATAAATAGTTGTAAAATGCCAAGGCACTTAGAAAATGCTGATTTCTAGGGCTCCTCTCCTTCCCTCTGGAGTGAACAGAATAAGTCTCCCCCTTTCCCATGGCAGTCCTTCAAACATTTTAAGGCAGTGGTTGTTCTTCTCTCCCCACTTCAAATCTTCTCAACTCCAGGTGAAACATTTCTCCTTGTTTTTCATATGGCATTCTGTGCATGTCTCTCTCATCCTGTCTGCCCTTCAATTTGTCAATGTCATTTTTGAAGTACGGCACTCAGAGATAAACAATATTCCAGATACAGCCTGACTATCCCAGCGTGTAACAGAATTGTTACCACCCTGGAACAGATACTAAACTTTTATCCATTTTTTAATTCATCGTATATTGCTTGCTTCTATTGAGTCTGTGGAGAATTAAAAGGTCTTTTCACAGGACTCAACTTGTGCTGTTGACTTTTAAAAACTAAGTACAAGCAAGACTTTGTATTTACTCTTGTTAACTTGTACTTCGTTAGCTCTGGCTAGTTGTTTCAGTTTGTTGAGATCTTTTTGAATTCTGTCTTACAAGAGGATCAGATACTCTTAGGTTTGGATGAAGGTTCACCATCTTTCCAGGATGAAGGATTTTTATAGTCTGTCTTCAAAAGGCAGCTGCTCCACTTCCTGGATTATTTTAAACAACCTTCTGGCGATTTTTTACAGTCCTACTATGTCTGAATGATAACTGGAAGAGTCTATAGTAATCAAAGTTTGTATGTACAAGGTAAAGGCAGTATGGTACAACAGAAAGAATGCTAGACTGAAAGTCAGTAGACAACCTAAGTTTAAATTCTGACTCTTCTTTTTTTTTTTTTGGCAAGATAATTGGGGTTAAAAGTGACTTGCCCAGGCTCACACAGCTAGTGCCAAGTGTCTGGTCTGAGACTGGATTTGAACTCAGGTCCTCCTGACCGCAGGGCTGGTGTTCTATCCACTGTGCCATCTAGCTGCCCCTCAAATTCTTGCTCTAACACTAACTAGCTATGATTTCTTGGGAAAGTCACAACTTATCCCAGCTTTAGGTTCACTATTTGTAGAACAAGGATAAATACCTGTGTGTACCTCATAGGATGGTTTGGAGAAAAGCCCTTTGCATACCCAATATGTGAGTTACTGTATTATACACAGACATTTGGCACAAGGGTTGCCGCTTGTGGTTCTGTTTCTAAATTCTTTTCTGATAATACCCAGCATCTGGGTATTAATACCCAATGGCTGACCTTTTTTGCTGCGTCAACA